TGTATTGCTAGTTACTTTGTTTTAAATATGTCTTGTTGGTCATTTTTTATTTAAAAATGTATTGCTGGTATTATTAGTATAAAATGTATTTTTATACTTTCATAATGTTTTGTTTCGGATGTTCCCTATTTGCCTATAGCTGGGACCCTAACAGGTGCTACTACGCCGGACAAGAGTGGGCCTGGGAAGAACAGCAATCAAAAGGTGGTTCCACGCTCCACAAAACCTCCAATCTCCCGATCAGAAGCCTTGCTGCCGGGTGTAACTGATCGTCATAACCAGGATTACTAGTAGTAGAAATACGTGTAATGCTAATAGTATTTCGATGTTACACCAGGTATGGCTCTCATGGCTTCTCAATTGATTGGAAATGTTAACATGTGTATACTTTGTATTGGTGAATTAAAATGGGCGACAGTAAATATCTCTTTCGGTGCCCCAAATATTTTTTGCCAGAGGGTTAACATATTCTTCATATCTGTTCATGAGCGGGTGTAGTGAGAAAGCATCATAGTCAGGTGTTTTTTTTGCGTGGAGGGGTCACACATCTTGATACTCGGAAACATCTAAACCGTCTCAATGGACTGGATTTTACTCAATTTGGAAGTAATTCTAACTGCGCTCCGCCTGCAAATGTTATACGCTGCTTTTTTATTGGAACCTCTCACCATATCGCGTACATTTGGCTATGGCGCATGTGCGTGCTATACCCTTATCAAGTTGGGTGTCACATTGGGCATATTTGCGCTTCATAGATTTACCATCCAGCATCACTTGGTTGCCCATCATCATCATCATCATCATAAGAATGATAATGCTAATAATGACGATGGCTGTGGCGACGACGCCATTGCCTGTAAACTCTGTCCCACATACGAATTCGTACATCTTCGATTGATCTTTGTCTTATCGCGGTGTTGTGTTTAGTAAATTGGTCTTGAGAATTGACCCTCATTGAATGCGCTGTAATCGGGCCCTTGTGTCAAAATAAGTTCAGTTCAGCTCAGCTCACTGAAGATAAATTACTTTAAATTAAATATCCAAATTCTAAACTCGAAGGTAAGATCCAAGATCAATAACGAGCATGAGATTTGATCGCCCAATTGTAGATGACTTTTCAGGAAAATGTCTTTTTTGTTGTTTACGTTTAAAAGGTTTCAAGCACTTCCATTAAGCACGAAAAGTTTTGGATTTAATTCCACTTTGAAAAGTGAAAACCATCTGGAAAGACATCTGCCTGAAAACAAACACCAATGGCCTTGATCTTTCTCTACGCCTGCGAATCTTGGACATTAACAACAAAATTAGAGCGAAGAATACGATAAACCTTTTTAATCATTTCACCCCAAGCAAGGCGATAAAGCCACTAAGACTCCGGGGGTTATTGAATGTGAAAAACTTAGAAACAAAAAAAAAAAGATTATTAATGAGAGAGGGTAATAAAAAAACTGGAATTAAGTAAATAAAAGGTGATGATTGACATTGCATTTACATTTTTGAAGATCAAAGTTGATTGAAAAGCCGGAACTTCTAAAAAGTGATATGTACGTGAGAAGAAACTGTTAGCATAGAACTTACGGTTGCATCTAGCATTTTTAAATGTAAAATGGTGAGATCTAGCTGCCAATCTATAATTAGAAACGAAATACAATGGAAACATCCTAGGCATCCCCGATGTAGACCGCATCTCAAATGACACATTGCGAACCACCATCAGACAAGATAACCACCGCCAAGAAGAGGAGGCTGAAATGGTATAACCACGTCATGAAAGCTGATAATCATTGCACTACCATCCAATGAATAGAGGGATATACAAACTTAAAATATTGAGTCTTTGTGGCATCACCTAAAATCTAAAATTAAAAGAAAGTTTGGTTCAGAGGAAGAGATGCTCTCAAACTATTTTTGTGAATTTATGTGGCGAGAGCAAATAAAAGAAAAACTCGGAAAATGCATTTTTTTCAAATGTGTAATTAGTTATTTGACGTTGTGCGTTAGTGTAAATTTTCTTGGTCATGGATATTTTTATAAATTTATAAAAAATTATTTTCATATTTAATTCTTTAAAATGGTAAATAACAAATATTTTATTATATTTGGTTCACATATTTTTATATTGTTGTAAATATAAAATTATTCTTGTAAATAAGCAGTCTAATAAATAAATAGGGTTTGTTATTTTTGTTTTCAATTATGAAGAACAAAGAAAATATATAAATCCATTTTTATATCTTTGGATTTTATAATAATTCTAATCATCGCTTTTTAAAAGGATGAACATTGCCGAAGGATTAAAAAAAAACGGTGCAATAGCGGTGTCAAAGGATTAACCGTCATTTTGACACATACAATGCGTATAGGTTTCCTGATTTCGCTGACTCTTTTACTCAGATTTCATATCGAAATGAGAAACAGCTGGTCAGATATCAGGATTTAAGCCAATCCTTTTCTGACTTGAATCTGGTAATAAACTTTATGTCAACTTGTGATAAAGAAGTAAACATTTCTGTTGTGTCATAAGTATAATGTACTCAGGGTGAAACTCATTAAACTAGCGAATGTCATGAGAAATGAACTTGTTGACCATCACACCTCTTCATCATCTTATACAAAAGACGTGTACTACAAATCTAGCTCGTTCCCGGGGACCCATGTATCATCATAAAGGTTTTGGTTGTGCATATGTTCAGAGACACAAGATGCTATTCTATGTGTTCCTGCAGTTTTCGCCCGACGCTGAATGTCTTCACACTAATCCAAGCAGGAGTTGTTTCCAGATGCTATGTCTTGCCGAATGGTAACCCTAATTTTGTTCCAGGGACACATACGGCTTTGAATTCATAGTTTTCCTTCTAGACTGATTGCCAACTACAACCAGAGGGATCAGAATGGCTTGCTAATTTAAACCTTCGCTAGTGGAGAATAGATGGATTCCTCTTTCCCAAGGGTATTTGCACGTCAGTGAATCTATTGTAACCTAGAAAGGGTTATTGAATGAAGAATAACCAAAACGGGGGTTGGAAATGAAATGGTAATCTTTATAGCATCAACAAAATAACATACTCGCCAGCGGTGTGAAGTAGGTAAACCACTGCTAGTGGGGGACTACTAAGACAGCATATTACCCACACTTACAATAGTGTTCAACGTATTTATGATGATTGGGAAATACCTATGAATGTTCATAGGTACATAGGTATATAACAGAATCAAACGAACCCGACTGGAATTCGAACTCGTCTTGCTCTTTGGTTTCTCATTCAGATTCGTACGTCCATAATGAATAAAATCCATAAAAAATAAAAGTCAATTTAAAAATAATTCTCATTTTGATGCAAGCGAAAGTCATCATTCTTTTGTTAAAATAATTTTGGTTTGCATCATTTGTTTTTCTTTAAGTTTTAAGATGTCCTTCTGACAAAGAATATTCTTAAAATAAATTCAGAGTCATGGTGATTTGATTAAATTTTGGGAAATGTATGGAGCCGAGCCTATTTTCTTAAGTGACCCTCGGAGACTTTTGTTTCTATTACAATTTGGAATTTAGGAATTCGCGTGAAAAAAAGAATCGAATGTGTAACCATCACCTTTTCCATTTCAATTTTTAGGGAATAAAAAGGAATATTCTGGTTATGTTATTTGCAGGACATTTTCGTTTGTGTCACAAAAGCAAAATGTAAATAAATTATGCGCGCCTGCAATATCCATCTTCAGTGAAGATTTTTTTTATCTGAATTTTTCACATGAAGAATTAAGAGTTCTTCGCGTAGGAAACAAAAGAATGGATAATAGATGAATTTCTCAAGGTAATAAAAAAGAGACAGCAGACAATGTAAACGAATAGATAGCGCAGAATATAGGACAGAATATAGAAAGAAATGCACGCAAGCAAAAGATGAATGACTCAACGAGAAGTGTGCAGAGGTAGAAACGCAAATGAATATAGGCATAGAAAACATGTATAACAAGATAAAGAATAGTAGGAAAGAAAACGAACTCCTCGACAGGATGTACAAAATTAAGAAAGGCGACATTTATAATAGAGAATAAAACGACAAAGATGGAACCAATGTATCGGAGATTTCTTCCATCATAGCAGAGGAGCAAAATCAGCAATGCATAAAACATATTAAAATGTGATGTATGATCAAGACAGGCCAAGAGGAAATAAACTAATAGGATCAGATGGAATTATAACAGAGATGCTGTTAGCCTTAGATGGTTTTGGGATCATTATGGTTACAGAAGTAATAAATGAAATATATGACAGCGGCGAAATACCGGAAGACTTCAAGAAATATATTTTCATGGCGACGCTAAAGAAGGTAGGTGAAAACGAACCGGGCGATTGGCTTAATGGGTCGCATAAGTAAACTTATTATTAGGATTGTAATGAGTAAAGCTTGTAACAGAATTAGATCTAAAATAGGTCACTGGAATAAGAAATGTTATTTTTATTAGTAGAATACTATCAGAGTGAGAAATACAAATGCAGACAGATCTATATCTATATTTTATGGATGACAAAAAAGCATATGATAAAGTAAGACGCAAAGACCTACTTGAATGTTAGGAAAGCTTGATTTATATACGAATATAATATTTGAGTGAGGCATAGCATCAGCTGGGAGCAAAGCGCCTTTGTGAATAGAGAATGCCTTCAGTGAATACACAAAAATAGAAAGAGGATACGTTTTCTCACTAGAGTTACTTAACCTAGACTGATTGATTGATTTGTTTTTTTACGGCTTATCAAACTTTTGCCGGTTAATTATAACCAGAAAATATTTTTCGATTTTAAGAATTTTGGAGGTAATGATGATTTGCAAATGCAAGTCCTACTAATTGACTTATAGCTAAAGGTGAAGAAGTGGATCCGTTCATTTCTTAAGGGTATTTGCGCATAAATGAATATAAACGACTCGACTGGAATTTGAACTCGGCTCTCGGAATTTCACTAGCGAGCCGTTATCTATAATACCATTCGAATATCCAAGCTTACAGTATCTGGTATTCCCAAGTGATCATCCATTTAGGTACTGACCAGGCTCAACGTTGCTTAACTTCGGTGATTGTACAAGAACCGGTGTGGAGCCCTATTTAACGTAGACAGCGAAAGGATCTTAAGAGAACTAGAAGGCCTAACAAGCGGACATGATCTTAACAACATAAAATAGGCGAATGATATTGTTGAGGGTAGACTCAGAAAGAAAAAAAATATGAAAGAACTCTAAGACGATTTAGGAAAGGTAGGTAAGAAGAAATGAATGCACGGTTGTAAGCAAAAGAGACAACCGAAGATGTCAGCTACATATTGGGAATGTCGAAGATGTCAACTACACAATGGGGGTGGCGAATTCAAGTTAGTAAAGAAATTTAGCCTTTTGGATAGAGAATGTCATAACAAACGACGAAAAATAGGAAACAGAAATCCGATTGTCGCAGAAAAAGGCACATCTTAATCTTAGGCAATCTTGCTAATTGGTTATATTGTATTACCTTTGTATATTCAAAGTCTCTCCAAATATCTTTCTGTAAAGATAATTGAATTCTTGAGGCGATCAACATAAATAAATCCCCAAATCGTGGGAACTTAACAAAGGACAGATGTTTTGTTTCTTTGTCTAAAATAATTTAGATCATTATTTTCTGTGACTACACACATTCTCTAAATATAGCGTACCGTAAACAAAACAATCAAATTCTAAGTTCTGTAAAACATTATGAATTCGGACAACACATTAATCATCTTTTTCTTATCGGCGGGGAGTGGATCAGGTTGGAATCTTTTCTTTGCTCAATTTGATCGAATCCGAGTTAAATCTGGGTTCGATTTTCCTTGGAACTGTTCTTAATTTTATTTTATTCCTTTAAAGCATCAATTTTAACGCGTTTCCTTCTTTAATTTTCTTCTCAACAATTCAGCCGACCCTTCTAAGAGTTTAAACAATTATCATCCAACTAGTCGTCCCGTCAAATCCCCATCTTATAATTTAAAATCACCCGCTATAATCCCTATCCTATAATCCCATCAAATCCCCATCGTATAATTTATAATCACCCACTATAATCACTATCCTATAATCCCTTCAAATCCCCATCCTATAATTTATAATCATACTCTATATTCACCATCCTATAATTCCTTCAAATCACCATCCTATAATTCCATATATTTCCACTTTTAAAAAGGGCCAAGTGATTCTACTGAATAAATGTCTACCAGTGATGAAGTCTTAACGAAAACAGGAACTGTAAGTAAACATTTACTTACGTTTAAAAAGAGACAATGGAAATTTCTGAGAGACATAATTAGGAAAGAGGGCTTGGAGAAATTAACTCACAAGGACATATTGAAGGTAACGGATGCAGAGAAATCAATGAGTGATCTATTTAACGAGTTTGTGTCAACGGACGACAAAAGAGGAACGAAAATAACTGTAAAAGCTGAAAAGTTACTGAGAGTAACAACAGATAGCAACGTTTGAAGAGTGTCATGACCGTCTACATGCTGAAAGGATAGAGCTCATCAAAGAAGATTGTCATTGTTATACACTGATTTACTCGGACTATCTCGTCTTAATTGTTATAGTCACAACGTTTCGGCCATTGAACTCCCTTCGGCCTTCTTCAAATGGGATTATAACAGCTGAAGCCATTAGTCTGAGTGCATTGAATGTGTTCGACTGAAATTTTAAAGTTTCTTGATATTTATTTATTTTAGTTCGTCAGAATGCCACATTACTACCTTACTAATGGCATGTGCGTCTATATCCTTCATGATGGAACAGCTTTATTTTTTGTAAAGGACTCGGCATTTTATTTCGGGCTTACGCATCTGTATGCCATGCATCTCTCTTGACACGTTGCCAGAGAGAATAAAAACGACCTTATTGAATAAAAACGGAACCTTTTTTGGGCCCCGAAAACTTGGCAGTCATTTTCAGTAAAGAGGTTTGTTACAAGAAACCAATGGTTAAAAGTACTCCCCTCTCCACCTCCAGACTAAATATGGATTCATGCTCGATCAAAAGAAGACTGACCTTTGACCCTGGTGGAACCATCCTCCGTGAGCGGGATTGTTGCTGTTGAAGAGACTATCGTCATGATGGCAGCGACGGCGGTGTCGGTGTGTCATGCGCGAGCGCTAACCCCCACCCCCGCCATCCATCGTGTTTCTTTCTTCTTCTCCGTCGTCGTCGTCGTCGTCGCTTTATATTTTTCATTTTCACTCAATTCTTCTCATTCCCACATTGTCAACATATCAATTTACATTTTGCGATTATTCAGTAATGCAAGATTTTTTTTCTCGGGAGGGAGAGAAACATTAAATATATATTCTTTCTTTCTTTCTTTCTTTCTTTCTTTCTTTCTTTCTTTCTTTCTTTCGTTTGTTCGTTCGTTCTTTCTCTTTCTTTCTTTCTTTTTTTTCTTTCTTTCTTTATCTCTCTCGTTTTCTTTCTTTTTTCTTTCGTTCTTTCTCTTTCTTTCTTTCTTTCTTTCTTTCTTTCTTTCTTTCTTTCTTTCTTTCTTTCTTTCTTAAATACACTTGCACATGTGAATTCTTTATTTGTGCCTTCCAAACAAATTTACAAAACTGACATCAGGAGAAGGACACTTGCTTTTTAGTGGAATGGGACCCTATTAATCATTCATTCATTTTTACCAGCCACACAACACAGCGAACACTGTCATTATGTGTGTGTGTGTGTGTGCGTGTGTGTGTGCGCGCGTGTGTGCGGGTATTTACTAATATTCAGCCAACACAAGACCCAAGAGCCACTCAAAATAGAAGACCACTATGTGGAGTTATATTAGCGCAGGAAAGAACCAGCGTTAGGCGTATAGAGCTGAAGTAGATTTTGGAAGGAACCGGAAACCCAATCCTTAAAACAGGAAACAATGGATAAACCTCTTCTCCTGTTTAAAAGACCGCGGAGGCGTGTGAACCATACGCTAGGCGACCTATCTACTCCTTTTGGGATATATATATATATATATATATATATATATATATATATATATATATATGTGTGTGTGTGTGTGTGTGTGTGTCGCATTAATTAAATTAAAATAGCATAAAATGAATAAATGCGAAAATAAATAAAAAATGAAAACAAGGAAAATATATTTTAATAATTAAAACAAAAAATTAAAAATCATATTTTAAACTTTCCTGCTAATTTTCCAACACTTGCTCTATTTTAAATGGTTGCATTTAACAATTTTCTCATGTCAATCAATATGATTTTCAGATTATTGTTTTTATTTTTTATAAAGGAAAGCCTATGCTCTTTGATTCTACCATCAGGGAAAAGATTAATGCTAAAAAATAGACATAATCAGAATATGAGTCAATGAAAGATAAAAAAAGTAACTGACTTTGTTCACAGAAATAATTGTTATATAATAATGTACTGTTTATTTTACTTATCTGATCAAATTATAAAAAAAATCTTCTTGTGTGTGTAATTCTGTGTGTCGGAAGAAAACTCGATGATGAAAAAAGCTTCTTTTATTTGTGATGCAGAAACAATAAATATTTCAGTTAGAAAGTGTTCTTTTCATTCTCTTCAATTCGCTGGAGAAATTCAATTTTTTTAGTAAAATAAGTGCGTGCGTGGATAAAAAAAATCATGCAAAAATGAATTATAAGCAAAGAAGTGCCTACAGTGGCGCGAGACTTGACAAGCACATCTTACGAGACCACGTTGTTAGGGTAAACGAGTTCGTTTCTTATTAAATGCCACAATGTCGTACCCTTTTACTAGAGACTGATGTAAACTAAACTAAACATATTAAAAAAATAAACGTATCTGAGGTGAAATCCTGTGTCATCTGTTTTTCCGACTCGTTGGTAGAATAATTTATCTTTGGCAAGTTTTGTAAAAATGAAAATCTTTAAAACAAGATTTTAATCAACATCATATAAATTAAATATTGTGTGTGTACAATTATTTGTACGTTAAAAATGGATAAAGCTTCGTTAGGAATAACGCAAAAAAATGCTAGAATTCATTATAATTATTATATGACATATAACAGAATAACACTATTTTTATATTATTATTATATGACATATACCTACATATCACACTATTTTCTTTGTATCAAAATATTTTAAAATCAAGTCAAGGTCTGATTTCTTATCCATAAATACAACTAGATAAATAATTTTTATCAATCGCTCTTTTTGTCTATTTCCTCCGCCCACTCGCTATCCAAAAAATGTGTGTATATATGTATGAATAGAAAAATACACATAACAGTAAAATCAATTAACTTACCTTAATTTGTGTGTGTGTGTGTTTATGTACATGTCGACATAATTTGTCTAATTGTAAAAGTTATTTATATAGACACGTTTATACACCTGTTCATACCCATACACACACACACACACACATACGTATGCACACGCATCACATCATATCACTTGTGTGTATGTTTGTATGTGTATGTGTGTATGTGTGCATGTGTGTTTATAGTTGACATGAGATTTTTTTCGTTTTCGCTCGCTAGCGTTCAAGTCCTTTTCAGCAAATTTCAACAAACAATCATATAAACCAGGACACACAGAGACACACACATGCTGACACTCATGCAGATACAAAGCAGAAAGAGTAAAAGTTTGAGCGACACAACGCAAATATTTTCCCAAATGACTGCCTTGATGTCGCTTGCATTTGTCGTAATCGTTGAGGAAGACATGGTGTTTACTGGACGTCTCCATTCGCATAATAATGGTAACTCGATTCCTGCTACCATGACATCCTACACGAAACTATCGCTCGTCTTTCTAGCATCTTTATGAAAACCTTTGAATCAACTTTGCCACTATATACTGGCAGACAGGCCTCCGCCCCTTACCAACTCTTATGCCTCTTTTTTTTTTTTTTCTTACGTTCTTCAAACCCCCGACCCACAGTCCGTGGCCTTCGTGAGTGCTGCTTCAGTCATTTTGGTTCTCTTTCTACTGTCTCCTTTTTTTTCTACGTCAGTGTTCCTACCAGTGGCGCAGAAAATGTGCCTCGCCCTCTGCGGATCGACTCACTCCCCAGAGTGAAGCAACAACAACAACAACAACAACAACAATAAATTCGTTACCAACAACAAACATTTTGATTACCATTTTTTTTTAATCTCATCATCCCTGAAAAATGAGATTCCGCTGTACGGAGGGGGAGCAAATTCAAATTACATTCTAAGATGTCTTTTCTTCTCTTTTTAATTATTTAGTTTAAACCTTTGCTAATTTTGACTAGAGAGGGAAATCCATAGGTAGGAAGAATTTATAACGCCAATTTTCTAAGTAGAGAAATCCTTGAAAAGCAACATTTTACATCCCGTTTTTGTTTTTCACTTGAACACAAATTATTAAGGTTATCGTAAAATAAAAATATTTAATAAATTTAGTCTAGTACAAGGCTAAGGAGAAGAAAACTTTGCTGAGCCAATCTTCCAAGTGAGAAGAACTGGATTACCTGTCTTCGAAATCAGCATACTAATCCTATTTTTTCCTGGAATCAAACATCGATCATTGAATGGTAAATATGCAATTATCTCAATCATAAGGCAAAAGCCTTTCTTTAAAATTAAATGAATCCTGAAGGAAAATATAAATAGGAAGATCATACTGCGCCAATCTTCTAAGTGTAGAGATTGTGTACTGATGATCATCATTCAATATATTGGCATTACCTGGGCTCGGACACCGACCAGTGATGCTGACCAGAAATGTAACAAGATTAAATTCGTTTAGTTTAGTTTATCGGCTGAAGAAGGTCTAAATGAAAAATATCGAAATAAAAAGCAACAAACAAAAGATTATCCCTTCAACATTGCAGAAAAAAAAAACAAAAAAAAAATTAGAAATTCAGTCTTTGTATTAATTGTCTGTCTTTTTCTCTTCCAAAGAAAAAAAAAGAATATTTATTTTTTTTGTTATCGTCTAAGATTTAAAAAATGTTTCGATAACTTTTTATTTCTTAGAAAAAAGAAAGATATTTGAAATTCAAAAATTATTTGATTTGTTATTTACACAGTAAAAATTGTCTATGACATTGTCGAAACTCATCTTGTTAAAAAGAAATACACGAAAAATATAAAAAAATTAAATAAAAATTTCAACCTCTCAGTTTGGAGCAAAAAATGCTGTCAAATTATCCTTCAAAGTGTCGGAACTTAATATTGAGCATACAAAACATAACTTTAAATATGAAAAATTAAAAAGTACATCGATTAATTTTAAGATTTGCTTAAAGTGAACGAAAATCGATTTGTAAATTAAAAAGAACTCTCCTAAGAAAATGGCAAGTCTAGTTGTTGGACTCAGGATCCATAATGAGGAAGAAGGGCTTGGAAAATCTGATACTCACAGGACAGATTGAAGGCAAGAGGGACGGAGGAAAACAATGCAAAACTTTGTGAGTTTGAGTAAATGGGTAGTGGAAATTTTAGGAGAAATGACAGACAAAATTTATTAAAAGCTACAAGGGAGAGGAAGTTGTGGAGAGCCATTATAGTTTACGTCCTGGGTGGACACGGCGCATAAAGAAAAAGATTATCCCTTAAAAAGCAAACTGAACTGAAATTTCAATTTATAAATTGAACATGTGATCGGTATCGGATTGGTAACACTCATTATCACATATTTACTAAAGAAATACAGGACTTGCTTTTCAACTGAAAAAACAATTTCTTTTTAGTTATGTACTTGTAAAATCTATAATATAGAGAAAATAGGATGTGTGGACGTTTTATGTTGGTTACAATCGAAGATATCAAACAGATTTAATTGTTACACATTAATTTTTAAGATTTTTCATTAAAGAGTTCTATAGATGGGTACTTTATTGTAAATAATAATAATAATAATAATAATAATAAAACAATCAAAGCGAACTGCCCAGACATTGTCATTAGAGATCGCACACAAAAAAGGTGCCTCCTTATTGATATGGCAGTACCTGCGGACCGCAATGTATCATTGAAGATCTTCAAAAGGCTATCAAAATACAAGGACCTTGAAATCGAAATCGAAAAAAAGTGGCACATGGGAACATCAACAATCACATTTGTAGTTGGAGCGCTAGGATTGGTTGGAAAAGATTCCAGTAGACTAATTGAAGGGATTCCTGGAAGCCCATGCCTTAAAGAAATACAAAAATTGTTCTCACGAGTACAGCCCACACCTTACGAAGGGCTTTATCTATGTAATTTTTTTTTTTTTGTCAGTGGAAAATGTCATGATGCGATTTCTAACGTTAGGTCTCTGGTTGGGACCCGGAACTAAATGTGTACACACCGGAAATCAAAGAAAAAAATAAAATAATAATAATAATAATAATAATAATTGCCTTGAAGCGACATTAGGCAAGTCACTCATAACTTCTGATCTTAACATCCTCGTTTTATTTTACTGATAAGCTATAGTAAATATACCTAGAGGCTAACACATTGTACATATCAGCTCATGAGCGAGAGTAGTTGGGGAACATTTTGGCCGGGCGTCAAGAGAGTCACATCCAGAAGCTCGGAATCATGTCATTTGGAGACAGTCTGAACAGATTGGGTCACTTAAGCTGAAGGTATTTCTAACTGAGCCTCACTTGCCAAGTTATGCGTTGTTTTTGTTTTTTGTTTTTTGTTTTTTTATCACAACCTGCTACCATGTGGCCGGAAGTTGGCGTGCTGCTCTCTACACTTTTATGGGACTTTACAATACACACAGATGCGGAACAATCAAAGCTAATCGCCCAGACATTGGGATCAAAGACCACAAGAACAAAATGTGCTTTCTTATTGACATGGCGGTTTTTGCAGATTGTAATGGATCTTTGGAGATCTTCAAAAAACTATCAAAATACCAGGATCTTGAAATGGAAATCTAAAAAACGTGGCACATGAGGACATCAATAATTCCAGTTGTAGTTGGAACCCTCGTATTGATTGGACAAGGTTCTGATAGATTCATTGAAGGAATTCCAGATAACCCAATGCTTTAAAGAAATACAAAAAATTGTACTCATAAGTACAGTTCACATGTGTCTGAACTTAGACTTTTTTTTTACAAAAATGTTCAGTGGAAAATGTCATGAAGCCATACTTGATCTTAGGTCTCTGGCTGGGACCCGGAAGGAAATGTGTATAAAACAGAAATCAAAGGAAATAATAATAATAATAATAATAATAATAGTACATTGGCTGAATCTGCAAAATACTTAAAAAAGAAAGCAAAGACAAATGCAACCGACTAGATACAGAAACAATGGCAAGATAAACCACTTCATGGCCAATACTCTGCCCGTACCAAACAAGCTGACGTGGACAAAATCCGTACCCATCAGTGGCTACGTAGTGCAGGGTTGAAAGCTGAAACTGAAGGTTTTATCCTTGCTGCACAGGAAACTAGGAATTATCAAGCACCTATACTAAAATATTGTGTTAGCCCAAAATGCAGAGTCTGTGATAAATATCCAGAAACGATTGATCATCTTGTATCAGTTTGCACGATATTGGCACCCACTGAATATAATATCCGGCATGACAGAGTGGGCCAATGTTTGCACTGGAAAATCTGCAACTTCTACGGGAAGGAAACTGAAAGAAACTGGTATGAACACCACCCAGACCCGGTTACGGAGATAGAACCTGTTACAATTCTATGGGACTACACAATACACACTGACAGAACAATCAAAGCCAACCGCCCAGACATTGTTATTAAAGACCACAAACAAAAAAAGTGCCTCCTTATTGATATGGCAGTCCCTGTGGAGCGCAATGTATCTTTGAAAATATTCAAAAAGCTGTCAAAATACAACGACCTTGAAATAGATCTCAAAAATGTGTCACATGGGAACATCAACAATCTCTGCTGTAGTTGGAGCCCTAGGATTGGTTGGAAAAGATTGCAGTAGACTAATTGAAGAGATTCCTGGAAGCCCATGCCTCAAAGAGATACAAAAAATTGTTCTGACAGGTACGGCCCGCACTTTACGAAGGGCTTTATCGATGTAATTTTTTTCTTTGTCAGTGGAGAGTGTCATGATGCCATTTCTAACCTTAGGTCCCTGGGCGGGACCCGGAAAGAAATGTGTAAACGCCAGAAATCAAAGGAAATAAAAATAATAATAATCCCAGATAAAGAGAAATACAAAAAATTGTTTTGATGAGTACAGCCCACACACTAAGATGAAGAACTTTGTTCATGCAACGCTAGTGATGTTATGGAAATTGGAAAAATAAATTATGAAATGTAGCCATAACAACACACCATTATCAGTTTTAAATTCTTACTGTAGACTTGGTAGGTAAGAGGATCATATCAGAAATCAATATAAAATGACGATCATGATAATAATAATAATAGTAATAATCTGAATGAATAAAATTGAAAGGAATGTTTAAAAAAATATATATATATATATATATATATATATATATATATATATATATATATATATATATATATATTCATAATCAAAATTACAATTGATATTACAGTGTAACCCGGATATAAGAGAGTTGTCGGGACCGGGTAGAAGTCTCTTATATCCGGGTTTGGTCTATTTTATATACATTAACACAGGCTCTAATTTGAGACCAGAGAAAATCACTCTTATATCCGGGTTTCTCTTATATCCGGGTTTCTCTTATATCCAGGTCTCTTATATCCGGGTTACACTACCAACAATTCTAAAGTGATTGAGTGATAATTGTTGACCTGCGTTCTAGGCCAGAACAAGGTTTATTTTTCTATTACAAGCGCCATGTTGTTAAAATACATGAAAAAATTTTCAACATCGATTGTATATCAACCAGAAATAAATATGACAACTATAATTCAAAAATATTTTAATTCGAAAATGACATTTTAATTCGTAAAATATTATTTTAACAACAGAAGACGTATTGAATTGACTTTTGGGATTGATTGACTGGTTCGTTTTTGACGGTTTATCAAAGCTTTGCAGGTTATTTAAAGCAAGAAAATATTTTTAGATAGTGAGAACTTTTTTTAGGTAATAATGATTTAGTGATACAAATTTTACTAATTAACCCATAGCTGGAGGGAGAAGAGGTGGCTTCATAGTTTTTGCAATGGAATTTGCGCGTAAGTGAATATAACGAACCCAACAGGAATTGGAACTCTGCTGTCCGATTAAGAATTCGAACCATTATCAATTAATCAGTTAAGCTATCTATCTTAGTCTGTTTCTTTCTTTCTTTCTTTTCTTTCTTTCTTTCTTTCTTTCTTTCTTTCTTTCTATCTATCTATCTATCTATCTATCTATCTATCTATCACATGTAACCCAGATTCATTTTTATTTTTTAAAAATCACACATTCACACTTCTTTCATAAGCTAGAAAGCACCATTGGCGCACCAAGTGAACTATTTTTAGGTCTATCGTCTTTGGCAAATGTAGCGTTTCACTTCATCACCTTTCTACCCTCCCCCATCTCCATCCCCTCACACCATGTGTGTTCTTCTTAAACGTTTCAGACATTTGTAAACCTTCCCACCCCCACCCCGCCGCCATCCGTCAAGATCACACATCTCTTTTTACATCGTCTCTCACCCGGTGGGTGTTTCCATTTCTTTCTTTTTTTTTTTCGGAAAGCCGTAAAATGTGCACTTAATTTTCTTTATATCTACACGAACACGTCAAAGAAATCCGACGTGAGAGAGAGAGAAAGAAGAGGAGTGAGAGAGGGGGTGAGAGAGAAGGTGAGAGAAGAAGAAGAAGAAGAAAAAGAAGTAGAAGAAGAAAAAGAAGTAGAAGAAGAAAAAGAAGAGTGAGAAGCTATTTCCGTAAAATATTTGATCATGTAATGATGAATGGTGTAAAATGACAGTCACCAGGTACCAGAATAAAGTGACACATTTGCATTTTGAAATAATGATCATCATCATCATCATCATCATCATCATCATCATAATCATCATCATCATCATCGTCGTGATCATTGTCGTCGGCGTCGTCGTGATCATCATCATCATCATTATCATAACAGTAGCAGCAGCGGAAGAGAAGCAGCAGTAACGAAGAATTTGTACGTATTGACTTATATTCTTAAGAATAATTAATGTTCAAATGTTTTTTTTCGTCTTCGTCTTCGTCTTACTACTACTACTACTACTACTACTACTACTAATAATAATAATAATAATAATAAAAAATATGTGTATCATTTTCCTGCTAGTTCTAAAATATGTGAGTTGCATAAATTGCCATCCATGTGTACGTCTCACATCTTCTCTCTACAAAGTAAAACTAGAATTGCATTTCTCTTTGAATGCATTGCACCTTTATTTCTTTACATTTTTTTTATTAAGAAAACTTTTCTCTTGAAGTCTCACCGGTTGAGACTTGGGGACAACTCCCACTACACAAAGCAAAGGCCAATAATAATAATAATCTTTTCTCGCTGAAAACAACATTCTTCCCCTGAAATAGAAAGGATGTCGAAGTGGTTCAGATGGTTGCAAAGATCAAATACTATTAAATAAAATGACCCTAGAAAATTTCAGGACAAAATGTAGCAATCTCAGCACAGCTGGAATAGATTATCGTAAAGCCTTTGATAGTGTGGCACACTCTTGGATCCTTAAAGCTTTGGAAATGTACAAAGTCACCTCTGGTGATAGTAAAGTTCCTTAAATCTAACGCGAAACTTTGAAAAATCCCATTATACCTAAATCACACCAAAGGCAGTACCATTGCGAATCATGTGAATATCCGACTCGGAATCTTTCAAGAAGATTTCCTGACGCACCTTCTGTTCTCTCTGTCCTTAGCCCCACTTTCGCGTAAACTAAACAGTAATTACTATAGATACAAATGTAAAAAAAGTGTTTAATTACCTACTCTACATGGATAATATCAAGCACTTTACCAAAGACGACAATGAGTTGAAGGCTTTCCTTAATACTGTAAAATGTTTCAGAAATGGCATCGATATCGATTTCGGATTAGATAAATGTTCAAAAGTAAGATTCAAGAAAGGAAGAATTACAGAAACACAATCAATAGATTTAGATTTTGTGACAAAGATTAGGGAACTGGAACAAGAAGAAGCCTATATATACCTAGGAGTCAGCAAAGAAGATGGAATACAGCCTACTCAAATGAAGGGGAAGTAAGAATAGATTACTACACTAGTGCGTGTTTGGTGTTGAATACCGAGTTGAATTCACGAAACAGAATATCAGACGTAAACACTTTGGTTGTCTCTGTAGTGCAACACAGTTTTGTACATCCTTAATTGGACCATAGATGAGCTGATATTAAACGATTGGATGTCAAAACGAGAAGGTTTCTCACTTGCCACTGCATTCATCATCCTAAGGCTGATACTGATCGTTTATATCTGTCCAAATCCGAAAGAGTCAGAGGATTAGTTCAACTAGAACTTTTTACAAAACCACAACAATCGGTTTTCAAAGATGCCTGGAAACTACAAAGGACTATACAATGATCTGTGTCAAAGAACATGAAAGAAATAAGAAATTTTATTAAACAATAAAAGAAGCCAACACATTCAAAAGGGAATTTCAAGTAGATGAAGAAGTGCAAATAAAATATAATGCATCTACTGCAGCAGCAAAGAAACCTAAAAAAGAAAACAAAAGAAAATGTAATTTACCAAATGCAGAAATGATGGCAAGATAAACCTCTTCATGATCAATACTCTGCTCATATCAAAGAAGCTGATTTAAAACAAGTCCCGTACCCATCAGTATTTACGTAGTGCAGAATTAAAAGTGGAAACCGAAAGTTTTATTCATGTTGTACTGGACCAATGCTTGCTTTTTTTTTTTCGAATTTTTTAAGTAATGCAGTAAAAATGTGTTTTCATGTTTGTATTTTAATATAAGTTCTGATCTTTTATTTAGTAATTTGTGTAAGTCTGGGAAGGTAGTTATAGCTGTTTTCTACGACAAACAAATTGTATAATTTTTGTTGTAGATCTTATTTTTCATGACATTTTCTGTGTATTTGGTGTTTTGAGTTTAAGTTATCATATAGGTTTATATTGCGTTGCAATATAACTCCTCTTTTATATATATATATATATATATATATATATATATATATATATATATATATATATACATATATATATATATATATAATATTAGTGGTAAATATACACATACATATGCAAAATATATAAATATATATCCATACATACATACACATACATATATATTTGTATAAAAAAATTCCAAGAGGATAGAAACCATGTAGAACTCAATGTCCAGGACAGAGTAAGGATATAATAAAAAGGCTTAAACACTAATATTCCATGGTCATAATTTATTCCATTGGAATCGTAAATACGATCCAATTCATCAGACCTACAAATTCAAAAAGAAAACAAAAAAACTAACAATTTAGAGAGAGTGTAAGTATGAGAGTGTGGGACGAATGTTAGAGCTTTAGAGAGGGGAAACAGACGAGAGAAGCCAAAATAACAGCCAGAATAGATTACCCACAATGCACCATTGACCCGTATATATATATAAATAATCGAGGAAAAATAGAACATTCGCGGCCTGACGATTGCGTTTAGCATGAAACAGCTTATCACATCTGAGTGTTGACCTCAGTGTTCACTTTTATATTTATAAATTGATATTGAGTTCTTTATTCCATAACCTTAAAACTATATTTCTATATATATATATATATATATATATATATATATATATATATGCAGAAAAATTTGGAAAAAACAAACAAAAATCCTTAAATGCGATTATGTTGTTTAAAATGAATGAAATGTCGACGTCTGACGTTTCGTTTTAATAAACCTTCTTCGGGACAATATTCATTAAAATACAATTCAGTTCAATTTGACAGAGACGATGGACATAAAAAACAAGTCTTATCCAAAACAGATAACTGAAAATTTTTAAAATGATCAGCTTTCCGTTTAGCATGGTCACGTTGTCGTCACATGGGCGACGCTTTCAAAACGTATTCCTAAAATTTTTTTTTTGATTATTTTGAATGAAAAAGAAAATGAAAAGAATTCTATTAGGATCTAAAATTTTTATGTGTATGCTTGTCGAGCATTAATCTCGCTAAAAAAGGGGAAATATTAAAGAAACCAGGTCTAGTATTCACCGTGCGTGAGATGGATATTATACCTGCTTCATAAATCCTCCTGAGATTTTTATTGTGAAAATATTTTAATACTTTGAATTGTATTTTAATGAATATTGTCTTGAAGAAGGTTTATTAAACTGCAACGTCAGACGTCGACATTCCATTCATTTTAAACAACATAATTGCCTTTAAGGATTTTTGGTTTGTTTTTTCCAAATTTTTGTTCATTCTGTCGGATCTATATCCATTTACATTTGCTTTACATATATATATATATATATATATATATATATATATATGTAAGTATATAAACTTTTCTTACTATAATCTTCAATATTCTTAAAGTATGAAAGCGCAGTGATATTTCGGATTGATAGAAATCTAAACTGTTTTTTTTTTTTAGGTCTCCTGAATGGCTTTCCTATGCAGCAGAGACATTTCTTGTCTCGATATCTGAAACTCAATCATCAAAACTGTAGAGATTCCTGGTTTGTGCCGATAGAAAGAGAAATTTATTCGTTTTCTTTCTTTACTGGGTGGCATATGAGTCGATATTTTCCCCTTTGAACTCGCTGAACTGTTTATTATGTTTTTGTCCATTTCCCCCTTTTTAATCCGCCTTTTTAATATTAAATTTTATTTTAATCTTAGTTCCTCGTTTCCTTACAGTTTGTCTTTTATACCGCGATTCTTCTTAACATTATACTAGTCACCAACTCCATGGCTTTTGTTGGCGAATATATATATGGAATACTTTGAGGAAATAGCATTAGAATCTATATCTCTAAAGCCAACTCTATGGTTAAGGTACGTAGATGACACCTTCATACTCTGGCCACACCAGGAAGATGTTCAGTCAATAAGACCTTCGATACACTTCACAATGGAGAAAGAGAGTAAAACACTCTCCCATTCCTGGATGTTCTAATATCTCGAACAGAGCATGGGTTCAAGACATCCGTATACCTTAAACCGATATTCACCGGACAGGACCTCAATTTCAACTCCCACCATCCATAGAGCGTAAAGAAAGGGATCGTCTGCTGCTTAAAACACCGAGCAAAAGTCATAAGTGGCGACCCAGTAACATTAGATAAAGAATTGGTTAGTATAAGTAGTACCCTACAACGTAACAACTACCCTGGGTACATGGCAACAGCCCCAATAAACTGGGATAGGCGGGTACAAGAGGAGGACAAAAAACACCCAGAAAACAGTCCGCCTGCCTTATGTGAAGGGGTTATCAGAGAAAATGCAAAGGTCCATATAACATCAGGGCAAAAAGCTGGACGACTTTTCGCAGATATCTCTCCCGAGGAAGACCCCCCCATAGAGGAGAATATGACTAAAGACTGTGTGTACACTATCCCGTGCAGCTGCGCAAAGAAATATAAAAGCGAGACAGGCCGACCCCTTAAGGTAAGGCTTCAAGAACACCAGGAAGCTGTAACACGAGGGGAAGTGGAAAAATCAGGCATGGCTGACCATATATGGAGAGAGAAGGGAGATCACCGCCCTTTCTGG